GATTTAGGAAATTTGATCGAATGAATGATATAAACTTTTAAAAAACATCATTGCACATCTTTCTATATAAAGTGGCGAAAAACGCGCATATATAGTTACTAGATTAAAAATTAATAATTATATTAATAATAATCATAATTTCAATTTTATAAATTCAAGGATTATAGCTAGAAAACGACCTAAAATACGATTCATGATTTCCCATGTACATAAATTCATACAAATTCATAATTTTAAAATCAATAAAATACATTCCGAAATACACAGACTTGGCTCTGATCGTTGGTCGTTCAGCAAACAATATTAAATGAAATGCAAAATAATATCAATCGAAAGCAAAATTTAATGTGTAGAATCAGAGGATTCCTTAAATTCAACATTCAAATTATTTTCTGGAAAACAGCAGCATACATGTTTTGATTTATGAACACGACTGATGGACTTAATATTCCTAACAATTAGTAATGATAGTCTCGGCAGCTTGCTCTCCTCGGGTTCGGGAGGTTTTTTGTTCACCAACCCAACACGCTCAGTCGAGATTGGTATTTTCTTTTTTTCCGCAAGCACGCAGTATTAATGAGTTGGGACATAGGTTTATTTGGATCGAATTCACAATAATGTCTTCTGGAAGACATAAACTTTTGCCGACGTACGCTCAACGTTTCAGTCTACAACAAAGCAATGCATATTCATGTCACTTTTATTTGCTCCTCGACACAAATGTAAAAAAAAGTGAATTTTAGGTTACAATTGTAGCATAATGAACTGCATGTTCACTGAATCCAACTTAAATTTCTTTTGAATAAGTTGACCATCTAAGTGGTGATCGATGTGTAATACTTGTCGCTGGACGTTATATAGTAACCAAATAATCTACGACGATAAAATACAATTAATGTATTTCTATCAATCATTTACTTACAGTAAAAGACTTTTGAATGTAAAAGTATGATACAAATACCTTTAATTAAGTATAATTGCATATTTTTCTTAAGAGGCCTTCACACTGGACGAAGACTGTGCAAGGTCGTGGCGAAGTCTTTAGGGAGTATTAGCAACGGAGTGGGGTCGGCATTGCGCGTTGTAGAGCGTGGTAAAGCTACGACAAATTTTGAACATGCTCAAAATTTACGTAGCGAGATCGTGGTGTTTAATAGTCGTAGGGATATCGTATCAAGGTCGTAAAAGGAGCGTAGTGGCAGCGGTTTCGGCGTAGTAGAGAAGTAGGGCCATGGTGGCAAGACTGACTACGCTAGCCTCACGTTCGAACTACGATCGTTTAACGTTTGTATTACGACAGCTACGCACAAACTACGATATTACTACGTCCATGCTTCGTGCCTACTACGGACATTGTCGATCTCACTAAGATCAAGATGACGACGGTACGTTCTCGCAGCGAGGCTCCTACGACAATTTAACGTTGTCGACTCAACCATAAATACTGCAGTTTTCACAGCCATTCTTCTTATCTTCTGAACGTCTATCTTGCAGTCACATCAGCCAGCCATGAGAGGAAAAAGCAGCTTTCTGCAAATGAAGAACAACTCACAGAGGAAGCTGGTCATGAAAACAAACCGACAAAGCCATGGCAAAAATAAAAAACGACGACAAGACAAACAGCAGTCAGCATAACACAACATAGAAAAATAAAGACTGAGCAACGCGAACCCCACAAAAAACCGGGGTGATATTAGGTGCTCCAGAAGGGTAAGCAAATACTGCTCCACGTATTGCTCAACATATGCCTGATTCCTCCATATTCCAGTTTGTGCTGATCGTCTTCTCGGTCAAAATTTGCATTTTGCTGAGCTGGATACCATGTTGGCATAAGATTATTTAGACACACACACGATTCAATTACATCTCGTATATTAGCAGGTCCAATCTGCATAGTGGTCAGCAGAACTTGAAACCTCTGGACTAAAATGCCGAAAGCATTCTGAAAAGCACGTCAACACCTTGAAATTCTGTAATTATAGATTCGTTGTTCTTTTGTAAGGCCTCCCTGTGAATAAGGTTTCATATGAGAAACGTGCGCAGACCAAAAGCATCATCACCAAGAAGAAAGTAAGGCAAATGGCTGTCATCAAATGGCAGTGGCTCTGTTCCTGGATATGCAATACTGCCATCTTGAAGATATCCCATCAATTCAGACCCATTAAATATCTGACATTCCAACATGGAACCCAGACCACCGATGTCTACCCACAAAAACTTGTATCATGTATCTAGAATTGCCATTAAGACGACAGATAAGAAGCCTTTATAATTGTAATAATGACTGCCAGCTAAGTTTTATGGGCACCTAATGGCAGCATGTTTGCCGTCGAGAGCGCCACACGCATTGGGGACATTCTACTTGTTCTTGAAATCCTCAGCTATGGGTCTCCACTCCTCAGAAGTTGTGGGGTGCAGGATGACCTCGTTCTTGAAAACCTCTCTTATGGCACGACAGACCTCAGGCACGAGAATGCTGATGGTTTTATGGGCTACTCTAAACTGATACTGTAGAGTTTGATAATTATCACCAGTTGCCAGGATCGGAATCGCAGCGTAATTGCCAATTTAAGGCCAAATTTCAAGGCTGTTTTACAGTTAGATTACCCCGAGTTTTTGGAGGGGTTCGTGTTGCTCAGTCTTAAGTTCTCTATGTACTGTTGTACCTTCTTCCCGTGGAAAATGTACTTTTAATTAGCTGTAGTGTTTACAGTGACAATAGTGACATATGGGAAATTTATATTTCGTAAAAATCTATCACATGGCAAAAAAATAGTTGTGTAGTCAGATTTGCCAATTCTGGACTGGCAAATTTGTCACGCACAGTGTTTATATATCATAATTTCACGCACCGAAAGACATAAAGTACACATTACATTTTGATCTTTTGAAGAACAAGCTCTTTATAAATATCCGCTAAGTACACTTACGACCAAAATAAAAGTCGAAAGGATGAAAACATGACCGTAAAAAAACTAATTATGGAGAAAAAAGTTAAATAAATGAAATACTAATACTAATACCTTAGCCGCCTAGCATGTTTTGTGTTACATTCTATTTAAGTCACTGTTGTTTTTGTTTTATCTCTATAGACTTGACAATTAGGGCTTATAATAAAATCATGTAAACAGCTATAAAGTTGATCATTCTGATAACTTGCTTTTAATTCCTTTGAAGCCTTAAGACTTCTGCCAAAAAAAAACACTTTCACAGAAAAATGCGTAGCTACAACCACCATTAGTTAACTGCAAATACGTTTGTAACCATTATACTTTTACTTTCCTAATTGAATTATAATTTGTGTTTCCTACACATCTGTCCATCTTTTTGTTCTTCCTTTCACTTTTATTTCTTTCATTTAATGTTAAAAATCTTGCTTTGTCGCTGTGACAGCTTTGAAAAAGTCACGTACTGCAAGTTAGTCCCTTCAATCTAAAGGTATATAAAAAATGAGTGAGCTATCATCAAAAGCATCAGATTTTTTTTCAAATGAGACGTGAATACTAATGATTGTAAAAAACGCAGCGGAATATCACAATTTGTCCAGTTTGGGAGTACTCAGAAACAAATAAAACCAACTGCGGGTAATACCATTTCAAATCATGATCTCTCTGATCAATCTGCAGCCCAACATTACTGGTCGTATAATCTAGATAGGGGTGGTGCGGTAATCCATATGACAATAATCGATATGTTCTTAAATTTACTTTAAAGATAAATATTTTACTTCATCTGACGCAAACGGTAACTGCCTATTCTTTAACCATCCATTTTGATTTAAGATAAACAAATTTCTATCTTTGCAAAGAGAATACGAACCAATTACATTGTACTGTAATACCTGACACACGAAAGAATTACTTCAAAATATAATGTGACCATTATAGATTCAAAACGTGTGTGTTTTTTTTTCATGATTGTTTGCCTAAGTTTACAGTTATATTAAGAAATGTTAATCATTCATAATCATATTTCTTTTTTCTGATTTGTCCAACCTTTTGATAATACGACGTTTTTTTAAAGATTTTGAAGTTTAATGGTATTTATTTCCATTCACGATCTGATACCAGATCTGTATAGGTTTGATAGCAAATCTTGACCACCGTTACTTATTCTTTCACAATCATTTTTACCGATATACCGCATGACAGCAATGCGTAATGTAACAGGTTCTGTTCAAAACATCACACAATAATGTGGTGTTGAAAATCAAACCATGTTAAAACCTGACATCTGGTTTAAAAGTATTTTATGTTTTTATTGAAGGTTTTGGTCCATTTTCCTTCGCTTTTTATGTTATTGTGATTCTATAAGTTTTGGTATTTCTATATGAATATATTGCTTTTATTTTTGTTTAATTGTTATTATGATTTTATGTTTTGATTAAGACGGGTCAAATGTCGAATGTTTTATTCTAAAGTTAACATATAGCCCTCCAAATAAAATTACCAGGTACGATAAAAACCATACATAGTAGATATAAATGAAAAATGGTCAATGAGACAACAACACAGTTTGTGTGCATGTCTGGACAAGAATTGGAATAAAAATTACCTAACTAACCGTGTATTTATTTTATGTTTAAAAAACAACTTCCTTGTTAGATGTTTAAAATAACAACTTAATTGAGAAAACGTGTTTTTATTTTTTCAGCCGAAGGGTGTCGCTGTAAAAAAAAATAATTTAGACATCTTCCGGAAACAAAATGACGCTTAATTTATTATTCTAGGAAATGAATGAAGCGTCATTTGCTCACTGAATCAGGGGAAAATAACTTTGCCATGGATAATATTACAGTTTCTGAATGGAACGATATAATATCAAAAAGTTTTATTCCAAACATTGTTGTACTTTCGATTTATGTCGCTCTTGGCACATGCGAAAATGTTTTAGTTTTGTTGGTTTATTCATTTCAAACGAAAGAACCATCAGATGAAAGATATTTCATACCGATTTTAGCTACATTTGATTTGATAGCAACGATCTACTGTGGGATTTATATGATCATACAATGTTTTAACCAAGTTACATTTACGCACACTATTTTGTGTAAAACGACACAATTTTTTATTGGATTAACAACATTTATCCCAATCTTGTTATTACTCATAATTGCAGTTCAGCGATTTCTGAAAGTGTGTCGGCCCCTGAAACAAGCAATGTCGCTCAATGTAAAGAGAACTGCGTTGATATTAACAATTGTTGTTTCCTTGTTATGTGCATTACAGTTACCGTATGTTTACGGCTCTGTTTCATTTCATAGCATCACTTATGGAAGTACTGGAACACGTTGTGGCAAGGTAAAAGAAGGTCGTAGACTAGCAAGGGCTGTATATGCTATTGTGATAGGTGTTCTTGCTGTTGCTTTAGTAACAACACTTATTTTCCTATACTCATTAATTGGATGTACCGTCTTTCGTCAATTAAAGATGAATAAATGTAAAAGTAGTAGAGTAGAATTCAGGAATTTGGGAACAAAAACTGCCGAAAATGGAGTTTCTGCAACGGAAAATAGTGATGCTACGCAGAATAATATCACTTCCGATATAGATTCCAAAATATAAAATTTAGACATTGTCAAAAATTGATATAAATTGCAAAGAACAGAGGTTGGAAAACAAACAACTCTATCTCAACCTGTTGGATCCAAAAGAAGACGAAAGGATAACCGTAGAATAACTTACAAACTGACAGTGATGTTTTTTGTTATAACTTTGGTCTTTATTTTTAGTTATTTGCCGAAAGTGATGTTGCTTCTATTTGAAGGCTTATACAAAGATTTTGGGAAAAAGGGTCGAACACAGAAAGACCAGGATTGATGTTACTATATTATATGTTTATTATTAGTAATATTGTAAACCCTTTTATATACGCTTTTATGGATATCAAGTTTCGGAAGGAAGCGACAGTTTTCTTTTTTCGTGTTTTTCAAGGCAAATTTTAATTGTAAATGATAAACAAGGCTATATTAAAGTAAACGCAGTATAAATTGCGCCCATTATTACAAAAGATGACATGTATTATAACTAATAAATTTAAGTCCACACCACATTAATTCGTGTACATGTTCTTCGGATTGTTTTTCATTTCATGTAGGTAATAGCGAGGCTCGGTATTTTTATCTCCAATTTGTCGCTAGTAAAATATTTAATAATGGAAAGGTACACAAAATATGCCGGGGAAAGGGCATGTTACATTTGTTAATTCAATTATTAAGATTATTTGAAGTAAGGGATTACTTTTTTACTTACAAAATCCAAATCTGACACAATGGAGTGAACTTTAAATTGCCGAATCTTAATCTTTCTATTTAGTGTTTTGTTGATTTGTTCGTCTTTTCGTCGTTTTTCATTTTTTGCAATTGCTTTGTTAGATTGTTTTCTACTTATGAGGTTTGAATGTCCCCTTGGTATCATGCGTCTGTTTTTTTTTATAGAGAAATAGACTCGATAAAGTTAATTCGATGCATACATTCATCTCTAGTTTTAGTTTCATTAAAGACATTTTGGGAGTCCAGCAAACAACAAGGTTCAATAATTTGTAGCTATTAAATTATATATCATAATTTCACGCACTGAAAGACATAAAGCTCAAATTACATTTTGCTCTTTAAAACAACAAGCATTTAATGTTTTTCCGCTAAGTACACTTACGACCAAAATAAGGGTCGAAAGGATGAAAGCATGACCGTACCAAAACAAAACAAAAGTTTAATAAATGAAATACCAATACATTAGCCGCCTCGCAAGTTTTGTGATACATGCATGTTATCTAAATTTTTTTTTTTTTTTAGATAATATTGACAAGTAAGGGTCATTATAAAATCCTGTAAACACTTTTAAAGTTGATCATTCAGAAAATTTGCTTTGAATTTCTCTGAAGCCTTAAGACATCTGCAAGTAAACACTTTCGCAGAAAATGCGTAGCAACAACCACCATTAGTTTACTAAAAATACTTTTGTAACATGTTTACCTTTACTTTCCTAATTGAATTACAACTTGTTTATCTACAAATTATTTCTTTACTTTATTTTCCCATTCGCTTTGATTTCTTTCAACTTAGCTGTAAACCCTCAGTTAGTCGCTGTGATCGCTATAAAAAAGTCACGTATTGAAAGTTAGTTGCTTCAATTTTGGGGTATATGCATACAATTTAGTGAACTTTAATCAAACGCATCAGATTTTTTTTTTTTCAAATGAGACGTGAATACTATTGATTGTAAAAAATGCAGCGGAATATCACAATTTGTACAGTTTGGAAGTACTCAGAAACAAATAAAACCAACTGCGGGTAATACCATTTTTAATCATGATCTCTCTGTATCAATCTACAGCCCAGAATTACTGCACGTCATTATTAGTCATAAAATCTAGCCAGAGGGTGGTGCGGTAATCCATATGACGATTAACGATATTTGCTTAAATTTACTTCAAAGATAAATACTTTACTCCATCTGATGCAAACGGTAACTATCTATTCTTTTACATTCCATTTGCTTAAAGAAAAACCAATTCCTATATTTTCAGAGAGAGTATGAACTAATTACATTGTACTATACTACCTGACATATGAAAGACTTAGTTCAAAATATGATGTGACCATTATAGATTCAAAACGTATTTGTTTTTCTTTCATGATTCGCATAGAGTTATGTTTCGCATTTTGTGTTTTCATGAAAAGTACTGCTTGTTTGCCTACGTTTACAATTTTGTTAAGAAATGTTAATCATTCATAATCATGTGTCCTTTTTCTGATTTTTCCAACCTTAAGATAATACAACGTTTTTTTCCACAGATTTTGAAGTTAAATGATATTTATATGCATTCACGATCTGATACCAGATCTGCTAAGATCCGATAGCAATTCTTGACCACCGTTACTTATTCTTTCACAGTAATTTTTATCGATATACTGCATGACAGCAGTGCGTAATGTAACAGGTTCTGTTCAAAACTTCACGCAGTGATGTGATGTTGGAAATCAAACCATGTTAAAACCTGACATCTGGTATAAAAGTAGTTTATGTTTTTATTGAAGGTTTTGGTCGATTTTTCTTAAATTGCTATTATGATTCTATGTTTTGATTAAGACGAGTCAAATGTCGAACGTTATACTCTAAAGTTAACACAATTTCCTCCTAATAAAATAACCAGGTACGATGAAAACCATTTCATTATAAATAGTAGATATAGATGGAAAATGTTCAATGAGACAGCAACACAATTGTGTGCATGTCTGGATAAGAATTGGAATAAAAGTTACCTAACTACACCTTAAGCTGAATAGAAAATGAAATAGTTTGTGTATGTATTTTATGTATAAAATCAACTTCCTTTTTAGGTGTTTTAAATAACAACTTAACTGAGAAAACGTGTTTTTATTGTTTAAGCCGAAAGGTGTCGCTGTTAAAAAATTTAATTTGGACATCTTCAATATCCTCAAAAAGAAACTCGCTAATGTATTATTCTGCGTCATTTGCTCACTGAATCAGGGGGGAAATACTTTACTATGGATAACATTAGTTTCTGAATGGAACGACATAATATCAAAAACTCTTATACCAAACATTCTTATACTTGCGATTTATGTCGTTCTTGGAACATGCGGAAATGTTTTAGTTTTGTAGGATTATTCATTTCAAATGAAAGAATCGTCAGATGAAAGATATTTCATACCGATTTTAGCTACATTCGACTTGATATCAATGGTCTACTGTGGGATTTATATGATGATAAAATGTTTTAACCAAGTTACATAGCGCACTATATTTTGTGTAAAACCACACAATTAAAATTTAGGCGTCTAAATATTTCCATGACATTTCTATGATATCTTTAAAAGTGGCGTCCTTAAAATGGAACTGAATTTTGAAGACAATGTTCATGATGTTTGTAAAATGTTTTATAAATGAATGTTTAAATACATTTGTTTAAAAAGATTTAAAAAAATTTTAAAACATAAAACACAACATTTCTACAGATTAAAATGCTGTGAAAATTTTAATAAAAAACATTTAACAAAATGTTTCAATAATGTAATTATTCTCAAACATCATTAAAATTATATTAAAAAAAATCCCCCATCATCTTCTGAATGTTTAAAAATGTTTTAAAAACAAGTGCTGCCATACTGATGAATACTCAACATCTCCATTTACAATTGGTTGTTGTTGAAGACGGTTGTATCTAGATTTTGTTCTTGGAAGGGGGAAGGGGGGGTATATTTGTCTCATTGACATAACCCCACTATGTCCTGTTGTTGGTGTCATTTCAATTCACAAAATATATATTTTATTTTGAAGAAACTGCCATGAACACGTTACAGTATGTCATGGTTTCAGTTACAGAGGTATTGTTTTTTTTCAGATTTCAAGTATTTTTGTTTGTTTTGTATGGTCTACACACTGAGAGATGGTTTTTACACATTTTTAAACATTTTAGCAGAAACCGTAATAGATAGAAACTATAGAAAGCAAAAAAGAAAAAACTAAATGAACATGACAGAAATCATCTATTGATGCCTAATAGGAGTTATTGCCCTTGAAAGATAATTTTTGCTCATTTTTGCAGAACTCATAGAGATTGATTGAATGATTGTTCGTGTTATGCATTATTGGCTATATCGTGGTTAGTTTTTATTGGTGGAGGGTACCGGAGTGCCCGAAGAGAAACACCGATCTTCGGCAGGAAAACAGACAATCCGAGTCAATCAAGATTGGAGTTGAACACACCTGCCACTTGCAGAGTTCGAACTCACCTAAAAAATTTCAGATTTTGTGCTAACGCTATTTCTTGGAGACATAAATTGATTTGATAATATGTTATGCATTTACAACTGCAGTTTCAATCGCATCTGAGAAAAAATTGACATCTGATTATTTCAGATACGTGAAATTCAATCAGCAGAAGTGTCATATATTTCATCTTAATTTCTCGACCCTATCATATAACACGAAGCTTGAAAAGTGAATATTCTAGCGGCTCATCCCTACCACTTAATACATAGAAAGTGCCCTCCCCTCCCCGGAGATAATACGATTTATAAGCTCCCTTTCGTTTTTATATTTTCTGGTTTGTAGTTTCAGTTGAAGTGTCAGATTTAAGTAATTTATTTACATGTTGTTCCATAACTTGAGTTATTTGCCACTAGACGATAGACAAGCAACAATCTTTCGTCTTGGAAATGCATGTCAACAGCTCCTTTATTTATCATTGTGGGTCTATTTCCACAGAGTTTTAAGTATTTTTATACAAGAGTGCACACGCTGAAATGTCTCGCCTGCTTTTCTACATTTCATGATTTATTTTATGTTGATAATCCTAAAGATAACGTTTAATACAAGTGATCAAATAAACTTAACTTTATCAAAGATCCATGAAAATGAGGTCAAGGTCAATTAAACCAAGCCAGACAGACATGTACACCTTACAATAATTTCATTACCGCTTAAGTATACAAGATACAACAAACCATGAGAAGTTAATATTGACAAAGAAACAATGAAAAGACGTCAAGGTCAGATGAACCCTGCCAGACAGACATGTACACCATAAAATCATTCCATACATCAATAGTTGGCCTTATTGTTTATAGTTTCCGAGCAATAGACTTCATCAAGAAAACGTAACACTGACCAATTGAAAATGAGGTCAAGGACGACTAACATATGACAGATAGAAACTTCGTAAAATCTGCTGGCCGCCTTTCGATTATTTCTAAATTAACAAAATTTGTTTAAAAAACCTTACTAAGAACATCACTGTCGAGTTTCGTTTCAGCTTGTTGATTATTTTTTGAGAAATTGTCATTGAAAAAAGT